AGGAGCAGGTGGCTGCCAGCAGGCGCGCGGCGGCGACGTCTGCGAAGCTGCCGGAGCCTGCGGGCCAGAAACGTCGCGGCCTCGCGGGCCGAGCCCCTGTGCCGCGACCCCGCGGGTACGGAGCGTTTCTTCGCGGATGCCCCGCGCGGAGCGTATCGGTGCGATCGCGCTTCCACGGGGTCGCGCCCCAGAATCCAGACCGCGAGGGCGCGGATACGGAGACGTTCGCCGCGCGTGAGGAGTGGCTGGGCAACTTCGTGCGCGTCCCGGTCCCGTTCAACGTCAGGGGGGTCCAGGAGCGGAACAGGGCCATGGAGGTCGCCTGCGGCACGGCCAGCACGGAGGCGCTCGCGGGCGCCGTGGCCGCGGCGTTCGCCGACCCCCGCGGCCAGAAGGACCCCCGCGGCCACGGCCGCGCCCCCACCACAACCCCCTCGCCCGAGGCAGGGCCCGACCGGGGCGCCGCGCTGAAGAGGCAGCAGTCCCAGCGGCTCTCGGGGCCAACGACAGACAGGGGGGGGGACTCTGGAGGGTTTCTCCGAAGGGCTTAGGCGACCCGTCCTCCTCCTGCTCCTCCTCCTCCTCCACCTCCTCCTCCTCCTCCTCCACCTCCCTGCGCACCCCGAGGCCAGTTTTTAGGTCGGGCCGGGCGTTTCGCTTGAGACCTCCTCACCATTGATGAGTCTGGAGTTTAAAAGGTGACACCATCTTCACGGATGGAGGGCGGGTGGTTTTCAAAATGTGGCTCTTGCCTTAGCGCCGCGCTCGTTCTTTTTGGACATGTGCAAGATTTTCACGGATTGAAGGCGGGTCGTTTTTAATGTGGCTCTCGCTTTAGCGCCGCGCACATTTGATTAAACAAACTGCAAGAGCTTCACGGATTGAGGGCGGTTTCTTTTCAAACTGTGGTTCTCGCCTTAGCGCCGCGCACATTCGTTTTAAACATTGGCAAGAATTTCACGGATTGAGGGCGGGTCGTTTTCAAAATGTGGTTCTGGCCCTAGCGCACCGCACATTTTTCATGAACATGCAAGAGTTTCACGTGGTATGGACGGATTCAGGGTTATACGGGCGCAACAGTTGTGTTGATTCGCTGTGTTGAAGTCCCCCAAATGCCGTTCTGGCACGATTCTGGATCGTCAAGACGCAGCAGTCAGGTTGATACGTGGCGTTGAAATACCGAGAACAATGCTTTGGCACGCTTCAGGATCTTCAAACTGTTGTCTTCCGACGAGGCAGTTCCCGAAATAGAAATGAACCGTTGTAGGGGCCTATGAAGAGGGAGCTTGGAGGGAGGGTTGATTCCAACATCGTTCATGGCTCTTGGGTTTCCACTGGTCCTCCTCCCCCCCACTACCCATAACCTCACCTGACTTCTCATCACATATCCTATAATCCTCCTACCCTCTCCATACTACTACTCCTCATCCCCTTCAACATCCTTCAGCATCAAACGCAATAATCATAATATCACGCAAAGAAACATTAACGCATCCTACTAAATAAAAAACTACTACATCAATCCAATCAATAATGAATATTACAAAATACCCATAACTCAGTCACTCACGCCTACTCATAACCCTCACTAAGCATCCTCAATCCTAATAAGCACTCCCTGACACGTCACTACTACGAATTACCTAATAAGATCCACAAGCAGTCAGTCCTACCTCCTTCCTCCTCCTCATCTTAATCTCCCCTATACCCACCATCCTCCTCCTCCTCCTCCCCCTCCTCCACCTCCTCCTCCTCCTCCTCCTCGGGTCGCCTGCGGCCCCGGGCGAAACCGTGCAGGGGACTCTGGTCCAGAGGCGGGAGCACATCGACCCCCGAGTCGCCCATGTCCACCGCCGATCGGGGCCCGGGACCCCCGCCTCGGCCGAGGGCCGTGCGGCTTCGCCGTCGAGGGCCGAGTCGCCGATGCATCGGCGACGTGCCCCCAGTTTTAAATCGGGCCTGTCCCTCGACAGGAGGAAGACTCAAACACAGTATTTAAAAAAGTCTGGGGACGATTTTGGAGTATTTTTTTTGATGATGTGGGTGTATTTTTGTGGTTTTCTTTATTCAGTCGCTTCGCTCACTCCGCCGGCCCGTAACTATTGCATGATCGCTACTGCTTCGGCGCGGGCTCGGGGCCATTTCGGCGCCGCCGGAAGGAGGAAGATGAGGATGGGGAGGGGGAGGGGAGGAGCAGAAGAGGATGAGAAGGAACGGAGGAGGATGAAGATAAATATGAGGAGAAGGAGGAAGAGAAAAGGGCGGAGAAGGCAGCTCTCGATGGCATCTTGCGGCGCTCTTGGGGCCAAACAGGGCCGTCCCCTGGGGTCTGTGAGAGGCCGTTCGGGGGCGCCTGGGAGACATTTTTGAAGCCTTGTAGGGCCTCTTTTGAGCCTCCTTGGAGCCTCCTGGGGTCTCTTGGGGGCCTCTTGGCGGCATCTTGGGCCATCTTGGGGGCCTCTCGGGGCCTCCTGGGGCCCTCTTGGGGCGGAAGGCTTGAGGTTTCGGTTCGTGGTCCCCATCTTGGGCCCCTCTTGGGGCCGTCTTGGGGCTCTCTTGGGCCGTCTTGGGCGTCTCTTGGGCCGTCTCGGGGCCCGTTTGGGCTCTCTGGGGGCCTTCTTGGGGGCCTCTTGAGCCGTCTTCGTGCGCTCTTGGGGGCCTCTTGGGCCGTCTTGGAGCATCGGAAAGCCGAAAATGCGACAAGGCCAAAATCCTTCCAAAACCATCGTAAAATTGATGATTTTGGCCTCTCGGGGCGCTCTTGTGAGGCCTCTTGGAGGCCACTTGGAGCGTCTTGGCGGCTTCTTGGGCCGTCTTGGGATCATCTTCGGCGTCTTGGAGCGTCCTTTGGGCGTCTCGGGGGCCTCTTGGGCAGTCTTGGGGGCCTCTTGGGGCCCTCTTGGCGCGCTCTGGGGGGCCTGAGGGGCCGTACCCAGGAGGAAAACCATCTCTGAGTAGACCTTCCCGGGACCTTCCCGGGCTGCAGTCGGGGTACTTTTCGCCGGGGGACCCCCAGGGGCGGCCCCGCGCGCGCGAACTAGAAATATTGTTAAGTAGTTACCAGAGATCTTAGCACGCATCTGGCCCGTTGAGCCGGTGAATTTTTCGTCCAAAATCCTCCTGTAGGAAGGCAGGCCCGACTTAAGAGTAGGCACATCAGATGAGACATCGGCCTGCCAGAGGGTGCCCCGCGGAAGTTCCGTGTCCCCACGTGGCGTCAGAGGCCGCAGAAGCTCCGGGGCACCTTGGGGCCCTCAAAGACTGACGAAGGATGCGCCGCAAGTTTTTTGCAGCAATATTTCGCATCGCATGTGCCCACTGTATCGCTCTCCCCCTCAGGCTCGCCAAGAAGCTGGGCCTGGGCGACGACACCTCGCACGAGCCCGAGGTGCTGCAGACCCTCCGCGCGAGCGGCACGCCCGGCGCCGACAGGCGATCGAGCGTAGCGCTGCAACAGCGGCTGCAGCAGCTGGCCGAGGACTACCCGGAGGAATTCATGACCGCGACGGGCGACGAGCACCCGACGCTGCTCCAGTCCTCGCTGTGGGTCCTCGGCCTGCACGAGAGCCCGACCAGGCCCTCGGAGGAGGGACGTACCGATACCGCCATCCTTCCCTCGTGTCTGCCTTGTTGGGCCTCCTGGGAGCCCCTCGTCATCTCGGCCGGATTCTCCTCGAAGCTCTAGTCCGAACGCACCCCCAGAGAGACCTCGGGGGGTAGCGGTACGGCGGGGGCGCTGGTTAGGGAATGTGCTGAGGAGGATGCAGACCTGGGGGGGGCTCCTTGCCTGACGAGGGCGGCGGCGGCATCCATGACCGATCCACGGTGTTGGAGCTACGCTGGCTGCCAGACCCTGGATTCCTGAGCCAATGGTTCCTTGCCCATTGCCCTCACCGTAGTCAGAGCGCACTCCTGGAGGGGCCCTAGGGAGTATAGCGGCACTTGGCGGGCCTGTTTTCCACCACCATCACCACCACAAGTTGGAGGGGGAGGGGCTCCTCCTCCTCCTCCTCCTCCTCCCACCCTCCTCCTCCTCCCCCCTCCCTCCTTCCTCCTCCTCTCTCCTCCTCTCCTCTCCTCCTTCCTCCTCCCCTCCTCCTCCTCCTCCTCTCCTCCTCCTCCTCCCCCTCCTCCTCCTACTCCTCCTCCTCCTCCTCCTCCACCTCCTTCCCCCCTCCAACTTGTGGTGGTGGTGGTGGAAAACGGGCCCATCGGTGCTGGTGCCTCGCCTGTCCCCCCAGGCCCGACGGTTGGCGCCTGCGCTCGGTGCGGCTGACGGAGGGCGGGCAGCTCTGGGTGGGGCCCGAGCTCGGCCAGGAGGGCCCCGCGAAGCTGCACCTCGGCGGGCGGAGCGTGATGAGCCTGCAGGTGCAGCGGTGCCGGCCGGGCGTCGAGGCCGTCTGCTCCCTGCGCGGGGAGGGAGAGGTATGCACGCTGTTCATCTCTAACCCTTCGAAAGTTATTTGATCTTTCGAGGGGGGGCCAGGATCCTTTCATTTCTGAATGTTCTATCCTGGGCCTCTTCCTGGCCACTAGGGGGCCTGGAACAGGTAGAAACGAACACAATGAGAAAAGAGCACGATTAGAAATGAACGACGTGAACTCCGTGCCGCTGCCCCTGCCTCGGCTTCTCCTTTGGGGGGCTTCCTGGAAGGCCCTCGTCGCCACCGCCGGATGCGCCTCGAGATCCTGGTCAGAGCCCCCCTTTCAAGCAGTGGCGAAGCGTCCTGGCGTGCCTATAGCCCTACCAAACAATGTTCTAAGAACCTTTTGTGGTTCCCACGAAATGTTCTTAGAACATTTCTGGTTGGAACTGTCTTGTTTTAACACATCGGGGGTTTTTGTTCTAAGAACGTGGTTTTTGTTCTTAGAACATTTTGGGTTCTAAGAATATTTCGTGGTATGACTATAGGAATGCCGGGACGGTCGGTCCCTGCTCAACCCTTCTCCCTCATGGGAGGTCCAGGGAGCAGCGGCATCGGTACATTTTGGTTTCTCCAGAGGCCGTCTCCTCTTTGCACGGGCTGCCGGTGTTCCCGTTCCGGATCGACCTGCTCGGGGGCCGAGCGAAACGAGCAAAGCATTTCGCCGCGGCGAGCGCGCAGATGTGTGACGACTGGATGCGCGCTTGCAGAGGCCTGTTGCATTCGGAGGTGGAGCTGCCGGGATCCACGCCCGCAGAGTGATGCGCCACGGGACCGTTGTGTACGCTCTCTGGGCATCTCTGCTGCACGCTGCCATGAACTGTCGGCGCAGGCAGAAGAGCAACAGACAAGAGTTCTCACCGTGAGGAAGAACACGATGACCATGACGAAGATGTCGCAGGATCTTGCCATCGCCCGTCTTGGTCATGGTCCATGCCGGCCGTCTCCCATCCACGAGGAGCGATGACAAAGATCGGCACCGACGTTTCCGCGTTCAGTCTTGGGTCATGGTCGCGGAGTTTTATCCTTCGATTTCAGATTACAGTCGGAGAAGTGGTATCACGGTGTATGGACTTCGCACGGGAACCACCAGCATCTTATGCCTCCACCGCTCCGCACTCTCAGCGGACGCGGCGAGGTGCAGACGGTGCCTCGGGACGCTTGGCCAATCTCGTGGCGTTTGGCACCGTTCGAATCGCTCTGCAGATTGCTCATGTTAGGGTCTTCGTTCACAGAGAGACGTCTCACGGTGGATTGCCTTTTTGCTGCTAGTAACTTCGGTACGCTGCCATGAGCCAGAGAAGGAGGACTAGGGTTTTTTCGCGACCTGTTTTGCAGGGCGCGTGCTTGTCGTACTGTTGCGTGTGAGGAAGTATTCGGATTCAGTTCCGGAAAGCTTACCCATTGCAGACAGAGAATTGTGAATATTCGTGTTTCTCCCTCCTCCACCCCTTTCCCCTCTTCCCCCTCTGCCTCCCCCTGCCACGTGTTCCTTCTATCCCCCTTTCACTCCTCCTCCCTACCCCCCCCGTTCCCCTAACACCCCCACTTCTCTTTCTCTCCCCCTCCTCCTCGCGGCTCCTCCTCGCGGCTCCTCCTCCTCCTCCTCCTCCTCCTCCTCCTCCTCCTGCTCCTCCTCACCCTTTGGGTGCCAGTTGCGTTGCACAATGCGGAGGAAGGACACGAATGTCGATGGCTGCAGCCCTTGGTGATTTACTCAGGCGTGGCATTGACCGGAGGCCATTCGCAGCAGACACTCGCGCTATAGAGAGTCATGTCCTGCTAGGTGATTGGGTAGAGCGGATAGTATCAACAGCCCGTGCAGCATGACCTGGCAGCGAGCGTGGTCTCAAGAAGGACCCTCCTCTCGACATGGCCGTCGGTGTCTGCCAGCTCTTTGCGAGCCGATACGGCCAAGCCAGATGGGGCTCGTCCAGCATCCCCTTCTTAATCCCAGCGTTTGGATTCAGGAATCTGGCAGACCGTCGCGATCCCATGTGCGAGATATTCGGGGACGGTGCTGGTACAACGTCAAGGGTCGCTTAGTTCGACGATTCCAAGATATGGTTGCGAGCGAGGCTCTGCAATCAGATACTTGTGTGGCGCTACTAGGTTTGCAACAAACAACGCTTCCTTGTCGCAGCAGCGCGTTTCGCAACACAATATGGCGATGCTGACAATGGTGATGGAAAGACGACTCCGATCTCGCACCCCTATGGAAGAGAGGTGGCAACAGCGCAACATTGGGAATGATACTGACTGGGGACAGCGTCTCATAACTTGTATACCTTGTAGGGGGAGAGAGAACGAAGGATGGATGACGGAGGAGCGCATGAGGAGCAGGATGATGATGATGATGAGGAGGAGGAGGAGGAGGGAGACTCGGGAGGCAGTGGAGCTGGGGAAGGCAAGGGAGGAAGAAACAGGAAATGGGGGGGGGGCGGATGGAAGCGGGAGGGGGAGACGGGAGGATGAAGTGAAGGAGGAGGAGGAGGAGGAGGAGAAGGAGGAGGAGGAGGAGGAGGTCGAGAAAGAGGAGGAACAGGTGAGGCAGGAGGTGGAGGAAGGGAGACGAGAGCGGAGCCGTGCCGTAGGTGCGCGCGCGCCTGCCTGCGCCCCTCTCGGCCGGGAGGCTCGCCCCAGCCTTCCGCGGCGCAAGCCCGGCCCTCGCCCGGCCCCTCACCCCCTCACCCCCGAGTGCGTCCTGCGGGGGGAGGGGGGGGGAAAGCTGGAGATAGAGGAAGGAGAAACGGTAATGCTCTGGGTTGCGCACGGCAGGGCTGGACCCAATCGCTGTTCTGCTGGACTCCGTCGGCGTCTTGCTTTTCGTTCTGGCAGGGGGGTGCAGGAGAACGGGCAGGTCAAAACCGAAGAACAGAACGGCGACAAAACGAACACAGCGTTTGGGTCCAGCCCTGGGGCGCAGCAACAGACTCCCCGAGAAGTCCCAGCTGCCTTCAACGTGCTCCCCGATGAGCGATGAGTCAGGGGCGGTCTCGGCACTAACCACGGGGTGCGGAGCGCATCTGGGGCGCCGTCGGAGGCCACATGGAGGGGGGCGGTCCACGCGCAGCCCGAAGCCTTTCCCGGGGGAGAGGAGGGAGGAGGAGGAGGAGGAGGAGGGGCGCCAGACCCGATGCAGGCCTGGGCGGGTTGCGCGTTTTCGATCGGCATGCTTCTGTGGAGGCCCAACGAAACCGAAAACGGATCAGAATACCCCAAAAAACAAAAAAGAAACACCCCCCCAGCAAACAAAAATTTTCGAATCGAATCTGGCCGTCGACCACGGAATTCTACCTGACAGTTTTTTTTGGGGGGGGCTGGAAAGCCTCACAACCAGAATCCTTTGGAAAGCGCCACAAAGGGATCCCATTGGAAAGCCTCACAATCGGAATCCTTTGGAACACACAACGAAGGGAGTCTATTGGAAAGCCTCACAACAGGAATCTTCTGGAAAGCACAACAAATTGGATTCTATTGGAAAGCCTCACAGTAGGAATTCGTTGGAAAGCGGCACAAAGGGATGTATTGGAAAGTCTCACAGCAGGAATCCGGTGGAAAGCACAACGAGGGGATTGTATTGGAAAGCCTCACAGCAGGAATCCTTTTGGAAAGAAAGCACCACAAAGGGATCCTGTTGGAAAGCATCACAACAGGAATCCCTTGGAAAGCGTCACAACGGTATTCTAGTGCTCACAGCAGGCTTCCTTTGGAAAGCACAACGAAAGGGATTCTATTGGACAGCATCACAATCGGAATCCTTTGGAAAGCGCCACAAAGGGATTTTGTAAAAAAGCCACAATCGGCATCCTTTTGAAAGCGCCACAAAAGGGATTATATGGGAAAACCTCGCAACAGAAATCCTTTGGAAAGCACAACGAAAGGATTTTATTAGAAAGTCTCATAACAGGAATCCTGTGGAAAGCGCCACACAGGGATTGTACTGGAAAGCCTTACAATCGGAATCCTTTGGAAAGCGCCACAAAGGAATTCCATTGGAATGCATCACCATCGGCATCCTTTGGAAAGCGCCACAGAGGGATTCCATTGGACAGCCTCACAATCGGAATCCTTTGGACAGCGCCACAAAAGGATTGTATTGGAAAGCCTCACAGCAGAAATCTTGTGGAAAGCACAACGAGGGGATTGTATTGGAAAGCCTCACAGCAGGAATCCGTTGTAAAGCACAACAAAGGAATTCTATTGGACACAGCACGAACCCTTTGGAAAGCGCAACGAGGTGATTCTATTGGAAAACCCCACCACAGGAATCCGTTGGAACGCGCCACAAATGGATTCTATGGGAAAACATCACAGCAGGACTCCTCTGGAAAACATAACAAAAGGATTCTAATGGAAAGCCTCACAACAGAAATCCTCTGGAAAGCGCCACCAAGGGATTCGATTCGAAAGCCTCACAGCAGGAATCTTCTGGAAAGGACCACAAAAGGGATTCGATTGGAAAGCCTCACAACAGAAATCCTTTGGAAAGCGCCACCGAGGGATTCTATGGGAGAGCCTCACAACAGGAATCCTTTGGAAAACACCACAAAGGGATTCGATGGGAAAGCCTCACAACAGGAATCCGTTGGAAAGCGTCCTAAAGGGATTGTGGTGGAAAGCCTTGCAATCGGAATGCTGTGGAAAGCACCACAAAGGGATTTCATTGGAAAGCCTCACAATTGGAACCCGTTGGAAAACACAGCGGGGGGATTCTATTGGAAAGCCTCAAAGCAAGAATCCTTTGGAAAGCGCCACAGTGGGATTCTATTGGGCAGCCTCACAGCAGGAAGCCTCGAGCTGGAAAGCACCACAAAGGGATTCGATGGGAAAACCTCGCAACAGAAATCCCCTGGAAAACGCCACCAAGGGATTCTATGGGAAAACCTCACAGCAGGAATCCTCTGGGAAGTACCACAAAGGGGTTCGACTGGAAAGCCTCACAACAAGAATCGTCTGGACAGTACCACACAGGGAGTCGATTGGAAAGCCTCACAACAGGAATCCTTTGGACAGCGCCACAAGGGATTCTACTGGAAAGCCTCGCAATCGGAACCCTTTGGAAAAGCCACGGAGCCACCATTGCGTGCGTGTTAACAACGGCCAAACCGCCCAGGCCTGCATTGGGTCTGCTTCGGGAGGAGGAGGAGGTGGAGGAGGAAGAGGAGGAAGAGGAGGAGGAGAAGACGAATAACGAGGAGAAGAGGGAGGGTGGAGGGCGGAGGGCGGGAGAAAGGGAGGAGGGACAGGAGGAGGAGGAGGAGGCGGATGAGGGGCAGGATGACATACTGCAGCAGGAGGAGGAGGAGAAGGAGGAGGAGGAGGAGGTGCAGGAGGGAGGAGTAGGAGGGAGCAGGAGCGATGATGATGGTGATGCTGATGCTGCTGATGATGATGATGCTGATGACGATGACGATGATGATGGTGTTGATGATGATGATGATGTTGATGATGATGCTGATGGTGACGGTGATGATTATGTTGATGACAACGATGATGGTGTTGATGATGATGGTGATGATGATGATGATGATGATGATGATGATGGTCGACATGATGATCATGATGATGGTGCCGATGTCGATGCTGATTCAGACGCTGCTGATGTTGGTGTTTATGCTGATGACGCTGATGATGATGTTGATGCTGACGATAATGCTAGTACTGCTGATGACGCGGATGCATTCAACTATTGCGATGGCGATGTTTATGATGCTGGTGATGATGATGCGGTTGGTGATGGTGCCTCTGGTGCTGCTGTTGCTGATGGTGATGATGATGGTAGTGCTGACGCTGATGATGATGACGACGATGATGTTGATGCTGGTGATAACGTGGATGATGTTTATGCTGACGTTGCTGCTGCTGATGGTGATGCTGATGATGATGCTGACGGTGCTGGTTGACGATGGTGATGATGATGTTGCGCATGCTGATGCTGATGATGATGGCGATGGTGGTGGGGATGATGATGGGGATCATGATGATGAAGCTGAGTGGAATCATTATGATGTTGCGAATGATAATGATGCTGATGGTGATGATGATGCTGGTGACGATGGTGATGATGCTGATGCTGATGCTGAGGACGATGAGGATGATGATGCTGCTGCTGATGATGATGATGATGTTGCTGATGATGAGGATGACGAGGAGGAGAAGGTGAGGAGGAGGAAGGTGAGGAGGAGGAGGAGGAGGAGGAGGAAGTTGAGCATGAGGAGGAAGAAGGGGAAGAGCAGGAGGAGGAGGAGGTTGTGGAGAAGGGTGACGAGGAGGAGGAGGAGGAGGAGGAGGAGGAGGAGGAGGAGGAGGAGGAGGGAGGAGGAGGAGGAGGAGGAGGGAGGAGGCGGAGGCGGAGGGGAGTCGTCCCACCTCCTTCTTTTTGTCCAGCCCGTCCTTTCTTTGCTGACTGCTCGCACCTGCCTCTTTCC